GCTGCCTTATAGAGGAGATTTTATATATCTATATATGTCTGTAACTTCAGCATGGGAGAGATCACGTTATTTTATATCTGTAAATATATATATATATATATATATATATATATCAGCACGGAGAAGGTGAAGAAGGAATGCTATGAGTTCCAGGTCAACCTGGATGAGAGACTCTTAGCTGGGTTTCTGTTGCTGTGATAAAAACATTAAGCAAATTCAACTTGCAGGGTTAACTGGGCTTACACATCAGATCACTGTCCGTTATTGGGGAAAGTCAGGAACCGTGGAGGAAATCTGCTCACTGGCTTGCTCCCCATGGCTTCCTCAGCTTACTTGCTTATACAGCCCAGGGTGACCTGCCCAGGGGTGATCCCACACACACTGGGCTGGGCCTAGTCACATCAGTCATTAACCAAGAAGATGCCCACAGAGAAGCCCACAGACCAGGCTGATGGAGGTGATTCTAGTTTCTGTCAGGTTGATAAAAGCTAACCAGCGCGGAGGACCTGACTAAAAATGAATAAGTAAATAAAAAATTTTAAACTTCTTTATTTGTTTTTTAAGGCAGGGTCTTATTGTGTAGCTTTGGCTGGCCAGAATTTACTATATAGTCAAGCCTGGCCTTGAACTCATAATCTTCCTGCCTCAGCCTCTTGAGTCCTGGGATTACAGTCATGTACCACCAGGCCTGGATTTTACTGTTTAAATGTGGAGTATTATCACAGTTCCCCGAAAACAGCCGTGGAAGTAAGGATGCCAAGGGAAGTTTCCCGTCACTCCACTCTGTCTCCTTGCGTTTTATAGATAATTACCTCACAACTCCTCTTCTCAGGCTCGCACACCAGCAGCCCTACTCATTGAGTCACCTTGCTGGCCCTCCTTATTTTAGAAACTTACGTGTCAGTTGGTAACAAATGTTCTTAGTCCTCTGTCATTGGAGATTGTGGGCTTTTGGTTCTGGTTTTGTTTTTCTTCTGAAGCTTAGTTTTTCCGGATGTGGAATTCTGGAACAATAGTCTTTTTTCTTTCATTGCTTAAAAGATGTTGTTCTGGGCTGGGTGGGTAGCTCAGTGCGGAACATTTGCTGGCATGTACCAGACCCTGGGCTTAATTCCATCTAGTACTGCAAAATAAATAAATAAGTAAATAAATAAAAACCAAAGCTAAAAAGCGCCATTGTTCTATTACCTTTTGGCTTTGGAGTTTCTGGTGAGAAATGCCTAGTCTGCCACTGTTGAAATGTTTGCTCCCCGGTATGTAGCTCGGCTGTGCTTTGTTTGCTTTTTTGTCTTTTGAGGAAAGACTGCATGTGTACCAGGCTGTCCCAGAGCTGCCTAGGTAGTGGAGGATGACAAGGAAGTTCTCATCCTCCTTCATCTCCCAGATGCTGGGGGTACAAGCCTGTACCACCACGCCTGGCTTACGCGGTGCTGGGGACAGAGACCAGTGTTTCAGGAGTGCCAGGAAAGAACTCTACCAGCTGAGCCTCGGCCCCTCAGTTTTGTTTGTCCTTTGCCTTTAGTTTTTGGCTTTTAGTTCTGTTGCGGTATGTCTAAGCATATATTTTTGTTTGGAATTTGTTGAGGTTCTTTTTTATTTTCTCAGAGTGTCTCCATGCCCATCCCTGTCTTCCTTCTTTTTCTTCCTCCTTCCTGGGGCCGTGCTCACCCTGTAGCTCAACTTTCAGCATTCTTCTTGTCTCAGCCTCTCTGGGACTGAGATTACATATAAGCACCATCATACCCAGAGTAGCATTATTTATCTGTTGACTATTTAACTTCCATATCAATTATAGAAGTTTGGGGTATAGTTGGACAGTAGCCTTCCTCTAGTAAGGCTCTGGGTTAGGCCCACAGCCTCTCAGAAAAGTCATAAAGACCATGTACATTAGCAGGGCATGGTAATATATACCAGTAACCCTGACACTTGCGAAGGAGGTGAGGGTAGGGGGACCAGGAGCTCAGGGCCATCCTGGACTATAGTGAGTTAAAGACCAGCTTAGGCCATGTGAGACCCCCATCTTTAAAATAAACCTTTGGTTTTAAAGGGGTGCCATATGATGTTTCAGTTCCTGTGTTGAATCCTGTAATATTTGAACCAGGGAAACTTAGCACTTCTTTCCAGTGAGAGCCTTGAGACACCTTCCTTCCAGGTTTTGCACGGTAGACCTGGGACCTTTTTCTGCATTTACTCTACTGAGCAATAGCTTTTGACTTGGGTGCTGGGGGTATAATTTCAGAAACCCCTGAATGTATAGAAGTTTTTTTTCCTTTGCTGTTGAAGCTTTTAGTAATTGATTTTTTGAGGGGTAGTTTCTTTGATAGTTACTCCTATGTGACTCAATTGAGAGGGATCCTTTTGTGTTTTTTTTACCCCATAATCCTAGAGGTCCTGTTTCTTCTGTTTGCTTTTTCAGTATTTTCACTCTTACCCATGATAAGTTCTGTCCTCAGGCCTCCACTTTTACCAGTTTCCCTCTGTCATCTCCGTCTTTTGAGCCCACCCAGTCAGTTCATATTTTATTGCATTTTTTCATTTCTAAAATCTTCATTTGGCAGCTCTTCATATCTTCTATTTTCTTTTTTTTTAAATTGGGAAAACATTTTTTAAAGATTTATTTTTATTTTATGTGTATGTTTGCCCCATGTATGTGCTTGGGCCCTCGGAGGCCAGAAAAAGACATGGGATTCCTTGAAGCTGGAGTTAACGACAGTCGTGAGTGCCCTGTGGGTGCAGGAAATCAAACCTGAGTCCACCGGAAAGCAGCCAGGGCTCCTGTTATATCATTGTCCCTTTGCTGCGCTTCTGCCTTCTCTTTCAAGTCTGCTTCTCAGCCTCGTCATAGCCTCAAAGTTTTTCTCTGATAATCTCGTACGGCATTTTAGGGTTTATTGTCCAATCCCTTGCAAGAGATTGAGACAAATAACTTTAAGGTATTTCTGACGTGAGGAAATTTAAGAGACTCTTGTTTAACTCCAGTGGAGTTTTTTGTTTTGTTTGGCTTGGTTTTGGTTTTGGTTTTTAAAGACAGGGTTTTTCTGTGTAGCCCTGACTGTCCTGGAGTCGCTTTGTAGACCAGGTTGGCCTGAAACTAACAGAGATATGCCTGCCTCTGAGCGCTGGGATTAAAGGCGTGCGCCACCACACCAGGTGAAAATTTTGATATTTTAAGTTTTTTTTTTAATTTCATGTTTTTTGTTTGTTTTTTGTTTTTAAATCTATTACTTTCTGCTTTTGAATGTTTTGCCTGGTGCCTGTGGAGGTCAGAAGAGGGTGTTGGATGCCGTAGAACTGGAATTAGGGATCCAACCATGTTAACTGGGACCTGAACCAGGTCCTCTGCAGGTGCCACAAGTGCTCTCAACAGCTGAGCCGCCCCTCGAGCCCCTCAAATTGTTCTTGTAGGCAGTACATTTGGACGGGCTGAGATTGCAAGCTCCCCACTGCCCCTGGGCTGTGTTTCCATTGCCCTTTCCGTTTCCCAAGCTTTTGCTCTGCTGTTGGGTTCTGCCCCTCAGTTGTGCCACCTGGCGGCCAGTGTTGTGGTGTTCTGCCTAGAGGTTTGTTCTTCATGACTCTGGGGAGAGAGGGAGGCCAAGCCTTTAAAAAAAAAAAAATCTTTAGGAGGTAATGACTTGAAAGCTTCTCTTCCAGGGGTTCCCTGATAGTTCAGGAGGGGCTGCACCCTGGTGTCCTGGCTAGGCAGTGTTTTAGTCCCCTCTCTGAACACATTCCGTCATTACTGCTGTCTGCATGACAAGAGGAATGAGAGAAAAAAAAGAAGGAAGGAAGGAAGGGGAAACCTCTTTCGGATGCCCTTGACTTAGCTGTTTTTCCCTAGTGTTTTTTTTTTTTTTCCTTTTATTGAAAATAGTCTTTTTTATTTTACATAATATATATTCTGATTATGTTTTCCTCTTGAATGGAAACAATGAGGGCATGATAACTACTAGGTATGGGTCCAGATTGAACCAAGCCATGGGAGGAGAGAGATGGGGGCAGAGGGAGAGAGAAAGAGAAGAGAGAGGGAATCACTAAAGGATCCATAGATTAAGAGGCCAAGAGCAAGCTGGGAGAGGCTGAGAGACTTTGCAGCCAAAATGGCTGAGGTTTTATAGGGAGGAGCAGCTGTGGGAGGCCGGAGAAGCTCAGGCAGAGGTCAGGGTAGGGGGTGAGAAGTGCCGAGGAGCCAGCACTCCTTATCAGTTCCTTTCCTCCTCCCCTCCCATCCAGATCCATCCTTGGCTACAAACTGTCTTAGGGCAGCCTGGGCTACAGGAGATCCTGTTTAAAAGAAACAAAAGACCACCTCAGAGCATCAAATTCAGGGCTTTCTATCTCAACGACCAATGAAAAGGCTTTAACAGAGCAAACAGGGAAGTGAGGCTCAGACTGCCATGGAAACCACCAAAATAGCTAAAGGGGAAAACCATAGATGACAATACTGCCAGCCAAAGCGGAATCATGTTTTGTTTGTTTGTTGCTTGTGAGACAGGCTCTTCCTGTGTAGTCCAGGCTAGCCTTGAACCTGTCTATGGTAGTTCTCCTGCCTCACCTTTCCAAGTGCTGAGATTACAATGTCCACCACTATGTCCATCTGGGAATAATGTACTGTGACGGAAACAACAGCAGCAGCAACACCAACACACACCATAGAATTGATTCTTCAACCTACACCAATATCTTTAATGAAAAAAGAAAGGCCTGCTATGCACAGAACTATCTGAAAGGACCTTCAGCGCAGTCTCCCTTATCCAAACCTTCGCTGTAAGCCCCTGCACAGGGCTAGGTAATGACAGAGTACGTTTTCTGTTGACCCTTTTAAATGAAGAATAAACATAATGAACGTAAAGAATGAACGTAAATAGCCTTTTACATTCTAGTCCGAATTCGTGGGGACCCTCTGTCTCCTGAGTGTGCAGCCTGATTGTGTTTGACCCTCCCCAACCCCTTCCTTTTGTTTTAGGGTTTTGTTATTGTTCTTGTGTTTGTTTTTGCAGATCTTTTCACAGATGCTGCTGAGACTGAGAAAATGGCCTTGAGTCTGGAAGATTCTGAAGGGGTTTATTTTGTTCCCTCTTTTAGCGGATTGCAGGTATTTTGAAAGTTAATTGAATTTGCAAACAGGTTCTCCTCCAGCCACACCTGGGCTTACATGGCTGTGAGTCTGTTACCCAGGTGAACAATCAGGGTGTTGAACAGAACGTGAAGGGCACGTTCTAGGATGGGGAAGCTGCCTTGCGTTAGTGCAGATCCTGTAGGTGACTGTGTACTCTCTGGCTTGGCAGACTGACAGACTTCAGCTGTTACAGACTTTCACCTCTATTGCAGTGGAACCTAAAAGTTAGCAGGCTTGTCATAGAACTTTTAATACCACCTGGGATTGTGTTATGAAATAGGCATGAACAAGTTTAGGCAGTGGTATCAGCAAATGGGCTTTTTTTTTTTTTTTTGAGACAGGGTTTCTCTGTGTAGCCTTGGCTGTCCTGGACTCACTTTATAGACCAGGCTGACTTCGAACTCACATTGATCCACCTGGCTCTGCCTCCCTGAGTGCTGGGAACTAAAGGCGTGCACCACCTCTTTACTTAAAGAAAGTACACTATTGAGAGTTAGAAAAATGACGTCACTAGCTATGGTGGTACATGCCTTTAATCTCAGCACCAGTACCCTGGAGATAAAGGCAGGAAGATCGCTTTAAATTCAAGGCCAACTAGGACTACATTGACAGGCCCTGTCTCAAAAGCAAACAAACAAATAACCACACACACACACACCCCCAAAAGAAGAGGCATGACATAATGGTACACATGCATAGTTCATGTATACATTCTGAAGTCATCTGTAGGTTTCCAGAAATCAGCCTTTCTTTTCAACCACTATGATAGAATATTGTTGCTCTGTCTGATCAAAAGGGAATAGAATATTGTTGCTCTGTCTGATCAAAAGGGAACCCGGTAAAAGGCCTGACTTTGAAACACTTAACTTTGTGTTTAATTAACAGCGTTGTGTGTGCCTCTGCTCTGCTTTGGAATACTCTCAGAGACTTAGGAACAATTTTCAGGCATAGAATCAAAAGCAGTATTGATTTGGGGGAAGCTTCTGCTAGTTCTTTAACCTCATGTAGAGGGTGGAGAGGAGGTTTTCTGGCTAAGAGCTTTTGCTGCAGCCAGGCCTGGCGGTGCACACTTCTGATGCCAGCACTTGGGGAGGCAGAGGCAGGCAGATCTCTGTGTTTGAGGCCAGCTTAGTCTACAAAGCGAGTCCAGGACAGCCAAGGCTACAAAGAGAAACCCTGTCTCCCCCACCCCCCCAAAAAAATCTATTTATGGGACTGTAGAGGTGGCTCAGAGGTTAAGAGCACTGGCTATTCTTCCAAAGGTCCTGAGTTCAATTCCCAGTAACCACGTGGTGGCTCACAACCATCTATAATGAGATCTGCTGCTCTCTTCTGGTGTGTAGGTGTACATGCAGGCAGAACACTATATAATTGATAGATAAATGTTAAAAAAAAAAAAAAAAAGGAAAATATGCACCACCACCACTACCCCATTTATCCCATACTTTAATAAAATCTGGTTTGCTAATATAACATAGAAACTGGTGGGGATTGGGAATTCAATAGTATATCATGCTTTTACACTGAGGTTTTGAAATAGCCTTATTCCTAATATACATATTGTATGGCAGACTCTTGGGGAGATATGTAACACACATATGTACTCCAAACAGAAAGGGAACCAAAGGCAGGTCAAATAATAATAGCAACACATGCCAACTTGGTGAGCCAGTGTGTTTTTATTGGCATTACTAATAGAAGTATGGGGGTTTACTCACAAGGTCATGGGTGACTCAGAAAACAAAACAAAACAACCAAAGCCCTGTAAAGCAGCCCTTATTACCAAAAAGCCCCCTGCACAGGGGACCAGTGAAAGCCGAAGCCGAAGCCCCGGAGCTCTGCAGTTTGTGGGCAGCTCTGAGGTCAGGGAACTCTCAGAAACTGCTGGGAGTCTCCTGCATGGGGAGGTGCTGCCTTCTGAGAGACTTACAAAGGTCTACCCTTAGTCAGGTGACCTCTCATGAGCCCCCTGCCCTCCCTCCTGGAGGAAGTGTTTCAGGACAGAGGAAACTGATGTACAACAATGTAGCATTTTCCTTCCGTTTGCTATGTGATCGGGGCTGGAGTTTATGAGGGTCTTCTGAGATTGCATTAACACATGGAACCATTGACAGACTGCAGTAATCTTGCTTGATCCAGCGACGGCTGCAAAAGTGGGATTTGGTTATAGCACTACTGATCCTTTCTGGAAGATGTGCTCAGAGATTTTAGTGATTTTGTTCCGACAGTTCTCTTGATTTTCTTATCCCCTCGCACACCTCTAGAATAATACAAAGTATACGATTTAAAAGTGGTGAGGGTGAGGATTGCTGCTCTTCTAGAAGTGGAGCCAGTTGCTTCCAAGTTCACAATGGTCTGTATTGTGACCATTGTGTCTAATGTTCCAGAGGATCTAGTGCCCCCTTCTGGCCTTCACAGGTATGTACCCACAAAGACATAGACTGTACATAAAAATCAAACAAAAACTTTAAAAACCTCAATGTGGTGGCTGAAGCCTGTAATCTCAGCACTTGTGAGGTGGAAACAGGATCAGGGGTTCAGGGCTCTCTTTGCATACATAGTGAATTTGAGACCAGATTAGTCTGTGTGAGAAGCCTATCAAAAGACAATGGTCTGCTCTTTCAGAGGTCCTGAGTTCAATTCCCAATAACCACATGGTGACTCACAACCCTCTATAGTGAGATCTGGTGCCCTCTACTGGCATAAAGGCATATTTGTAGAAAGAATATTATATACATAATAAATAAATAAATCTTAAAAAAAAAAAAAAGACAATGGCTGATGGCACACACCTTTAATCCCATCATTTGGAAGGCAGAAGACAGGTTGATTTCTGTGAGTTGGAGAATAGACTGGTTGGGGCTACATGGTAAGACCCTGTCTAAAAAAAGTTGCCGGGCATGGCATGGTGGCGCAGAGGCAGGTGGATCTCTGTGAGTTTGAGGCCAGCCTGATCTACAAACTAAGTCTAGGACAGCCAGAGCTACATGGAGAAACCTTGTCTCAAAAAACCAAAAAAAAAAAAAAAAAAAAAAAAAAAAGTTATCTTGTTTAACAAGTTCTTAGGACTGCAATTTATTTGTTTAAATAAGTAAGCATTCTTCTAGCATGGTTGTGTTTTGTGATACATATCAAGCCTGTAGATGTGCTTGAGAACATAAAATGATGCTTTCTTTATCTCTTACTTTAGGCCCCATTAAATGACCCCTGTGCTTGTGCCTCTTTTATGGGTTTGAAGCACTCCACTAGTAAATTCCATCTTGTCCGAGCAATACTGGAGTCGATAGCCTTCAGGTAAAGCCTGCCGGAGCGCGCTCTGCTGCCTTCACACTCTGTCATCTCCTTTAGAGATGTGCTTCCAAGCTGAAATTTTCTTTCTGGTGGAAGGATTCTTTCAAAAATATATGTATTTCTTTAATTGTGTATATTTGTGTGTGTGATTGGATATATGGATGTGCACTATATTCACGCAGAAGTCCTCAGAGGTCAGGAGTTGGACCCCTGGAACTGGAGTTACAGACTGTTGTGAGCTGCCATGTGGGTGCTGGGAACAGAGCCCAAGTCCTCTGCAAGAGCGTTAAGTGCTCTTAATTAACCTTGGAGCCTTCTCCCCAGCTCTTGAAGGGTTGTTTTTATTTTGGAGATGGGGTATCGTATTGCTCAGGGTGGCCTGGAGCTCATTTTTTAGCTCTGGCTGGCTTCAAAATCATGGCGAGCCTCTTGCTTGGCCTCCTGGTACTGGAATTTTAGGCAGGAGCGGCTTAACTTCATAAAATGAAAGAGAAGCTTTTTCTTAATTTCATTTCTTTAAAAATGTTTATGTTGTTGTTTATTAGTTGTATGTTTGGGTAGAAATGTGTGTAGACCGCAGCACACATGTGGAGGCCAAAAGACAACGTGGTGGAGTCAGTTCTTTTCTTCCACCTTTATGTAGCTTCCGGAGATCTCACTAAGGTCTCCTACAGAGGCCAAAAGAGGGTTTCCTGGGAACCAGACTGACACACTATTGTGAGCCTCCACTTTGGTGCTGGGACTTGAACCAGGTCTCCTGGAAGAGCAGCAAGTGCTGTTAACCACCCAGCCCTCTCTCTTAACCCTCAATTCAGTATACATGATATAATATATTCTTGTGGCTGGCTTCCTGTTTTTTGTTTTTGTTTTTTTTCCATATTTAATTGTACCAGTACCACTTAGATTTGATACCTGAAAATGGAATAATTTTTAAAATATCCCAGGCTGGGAATATAGCTTGATCTGAATTTTTCTCTATGAATTGAACCCAATAGCAATCTGTTACACCCAAAGAGCGAATAGTAATTATTCTTTTGGGTTTTTTTTGTTTGTTTGTTTTTGGGTTTTTTTGTTTTTGTTTTTTGTATTTTGTGTGTGTGTGTGTGTGTGTGTGTGTGTGTGTGTGTGTGTGTTTGACAGGGTTCCTCTGTGTGTAGCCCTTGCTGTTCTGGTTGCCCTGGAATTTGCTCAGTAGGCCAGGCTGCCTTGAACTCACAGAGACCCACCTGCCTCTGCTTCCCAAGTGCTGGGATTACAGACGTGAGCCACCGTGCCCGGCTGAGTTATAATTATTTTTTATGTGTGATTCCCTTGGTGTTTTGATTATGGACAAGTGTAACGTATGGTCAATACTCATTGTTAACTGAAAATGATTTAGAATCACGCAGGAGACGAGTATCTGGGCACGTGGATGAGGGAGTTCTTAGACTCTGTCAGCTGAGGTGGAGAGCCACTGAGCTGAGGACAGTACCCATTTCTCTCTGCTTCCTGACTGTGGAAGAGCCTCACACCTCCATACCCATGTCATCCTGTCTTGATTGACTGTGCCTTCAAACTGTGACCAAAAATTAACTCTTCCTTCCCTAATTCTTTTCACTCTTCTTTCATCGTTGCAATTAGCAGAGTAACGACTACCTGGGAGGTAGAGAAAGATAGATCTGTATAAGTTTGAGGCCAGCTTGGTCTACATAGTGAATTCCAGGCCGGCCAGGGCTACATAATGAGATCCCATCTTTAAAAAAGTAAATAAATAAAAAATAAAAATTTTTTTAAAGGAACTGTCACCAGATTGTGAGGCCACATGCCTATAATCCTGAAACCTTATGATGTAAAACCAATAGGATCAGGAGAACAGGGACAGCCTTGGCTACATAGAGGAGTTCAAGGCAATACTGGCTAGGTGAGACTCTCTCATAAAATCTATATGTAATAGTAATTAGGTAATTGAAAGATAGCTCAGTGGTTAAGAGCACTAGTTGCTCATGCAGAGGACCCAAGTTTGGTTCCCAGCACCCACATGGCAGCTCCCAACCATCTCTAACTCCAGATCTAGAGTCTCTGCTGCCCTCTTCTGGCTCTCACAGGCACTGCATGCACAAGTACATACACACCTACAGGCAAAATGCCCATACGCTTAAAGTAAGTACATCTTCAAAAACAATTCAGTTGTCATATATAAGCAATGTTTCTTGTGTTTAATATCATTTTTTACGAATACAAAATGATATGTTTGTATGTTAACCTGTTTGAGTATATCATAGTAAAGGCTACTGATTAAATAGCTATAGCCACTTGAAATGTTCCTTCATAGACTGGCAATAAATTAAACCTAGTAGTAAAATAAAAAGTACATTATTGTACATGAAGATGCAAAACACAAGGCCCTGAGCTTTTGTAATTGAGCATAGGTTAGGCGATGTTCAGTTGGCCAGTATCTCTTTCATAGTTTCTTTTGCATCTTTTATCAAGTCAATAAAACCATAGTTGTTGTTTTTTTTAATACAGAATTATGACATGAGTGCACTCTCAATAATTCTCTTGTCTGTGACTAGGAACAAGCAGTTGTACGATATGCTGCAGAGGGAGATCCAGATTCCAGTCACGAATATCCGGTATGTAAGCTTTGTTTTGAACAGGCCCAGTTAGGCGATCAGCCTGACAGTTAGCTCAGTGACTGAACGTTTCCCCAGGTTTGAGCCCTGTCACTAATCAAACCAGACATTAATAGAAGAGGAGGAAGAGGGGGAAGCAGCCGCTGTTAGTTATTTTCATGACTTCCAAAACTTAATGCCCAGCTTTTTGGTGATAAAGTCGTTGGTCATGGCACTTTGGAGAGGAAAATGCTAGTTTTTGATTTATGAAGATATAGCACAATCTGAAATGTCAGGGGGTCCTGTCAAGCCTGCTTATTACATACAGATCGTTACCATTTCGTTATTGTGTTGTAGCTATCCTTTCTGTGTGGAAGCATCAAAGTGTTTTACCTTCTTTAATGTCCAAACAGGCTCTTCTGTTGGCTTAGTTTATTTTACTTATCACAGTGTTGAGCTAGTGGCAAAACAAGTGAGAGATGCCGAAACTGAGACCTGAATAACCACCAGTATTTGTCTGGGAGAAGCGTGGCCAGTGTCTTCAGTTGCATACCCACTGCCGAGCCCAGCACTCTACCAGCTCGTGCCAAAGCCACAGCCCCACAGGTGGCCCTGCTTAAATTTAGTGGGTCACAAAACAGCAGTAAACATAAACATGAGAAAAAAAACATTTGTCCGGAGTGGTGGGTAGACAGAGACGGTGGGGGAGATGGGAAAAGGTGCCGGTGAAAGTAGTTAATGTGAGTACATACATGTGTGAAATTCTCAAAGAACAAATTTAATCACGAATGAAAAGAAAAGTATTTGAGGATTACCCAGTACGATCCTATAAAGCAGTCCTGGTGCCTCTTCCCCCCACCTTGGGAGACAGGGACAGGAGGCTTGGAAGCTTCTGTTGATTCTGTCTAACTAGTGAGGCCGTGCCGCCTGGGCTTTGGGAGATCCTTATGGTTTTGCTTCTGTTGTAAAGATCTTGTCATAAGTTTAGTGCTAAATGACAAAATTTTGAAAGTTAAATAAATAGATAGATAGATAGATAGATAAATAGATAGATAGATAGATAGATAGATAGATAGATAGATAGATAAAAGCCGGGTTGAGGACTCGACTCAGTGGTGCCCGTTTGCTTAGCCCATGCAAAGCCCTGGCTGAACTCCCCTCCCCCCAAAAAAGTGAACCTCGGTAACCTCTGGTAACCCACGGGGAAACAGTCAGTGGTGGTCCAACAGTAACTCGCCTTGGTCCTGCTTTCCACAGGGCGGACGGAGGCGTCTGTAACAACGCTTTTGTCATGCAGATGACTTCAGACCTGATTAACGAGAAGATAGACAGGCCCGCCCACTTCGACATGTCCTGCTTGGGGGCAGCCACCCTGGCTGGTCTGGCTGTGGGTACGTGTAGACTTTACGAAAAGGAGCCCTTTCTTGTAAGCTTTCTGTGATGGCACTGCTCATCCTCAGTCACAAGATGCCAGCGAGCATCTGGAAAGCGGAGTCTACAGGGGTGTTTATTGATGGACTTCTGCCTCACGGGTCATTCTCTGACCTCCATTAGGCCTGACGGTCCTGTCCTGACTTCACTGGAACCGTGAAGTGAGGGCATCTCAGTGTCTGCTACTCGGGTCTCTAGCAAGGGATGGTCTTGGGATGAGCTTTCTCAGCATCCAACATTAAAGAGAAGAACTATAAGGTGGATGTTGTTTAGGGAGTCCTTTGAGGAATGGGAACCACCATAGCTAAAAAGAAATGTTAGCAGTCGCAAGAAACTCTAGCTGACCCAACCTAACAGGATTCTTGCTGGACGTGGGCCAGGGTTACAGGATAGCACCTGGGATGAACCTTGAAGCCCAGAAAGTTAAGGCATAGTTGAAAAGAAATCAGATACATTGAGGTTTAGAGTTTGATGGGTTTTGCCACTAGACCCATCTTTTTAAAATCAGCGATTTAGAAAAATAGTTGAGCATTGGGTGAGGTGGCACATGCCTTTAATCCCAGCAGAGGCAGAGGCAGCAGATTGATGTGATTTTGAGGCCAGACTGGTCTACAAAGTGAGTCCAGGACAGCCAAGGATACACAGAGAAACCTTATCTCAGGAAAAAACGAAAAATAAAAGCAAATAAAAAAAAAAAGAAAGAAAGAAAAAAAATAGCTGGTCAGTGGTGGCACACACCTTTAATTTCAGCACTCAGGAAGCCGAGGCAGGTGGATCTCTGAGTTCAAGGCCAGCCTGGTCTGTTGAGCGAGTTCCAGGACAGCCAGGGCTACACAGAGAAACCCTATGTTGAAAAACCGAAAGAAAAAGAGAAAAAAATCAGCCATTTGTTGAGCACCTTCTACAAGATAGTCATGGCTGGATATTTAAAAGTTAAAGCCACAGTCCCTGGTCTCCAGTGTGAGCGGACAGATGATAAATTGTGATCAGCTCTGTGATAACCTAGCAAAGAGTGATGGTCTGAGGCCGCTGGGGCAGGAGTTCCAGAAGAAGCTAAGCTGTGGCTTCCCTTCTGACAGAGCAGCTTGAGGACAGAGAAGCTGAAGAGAGAACCTGGGTGATTCCAGGGAGGAAGAGGCTTTTGCATGAGTGTGCATGTGCACACACAAACACAAAAACATACAGATACACACAATGACACAGATATGCAAACACACATACACAGATTCACACAAAAACACAGACCTACACATAGATACAGACAGAGATACAGATACACAGGTATACACACAGATACACACAAAGAAACCACACAAACATACACACAGATATATACAAAAGCACACAAAGACACAGATACACACAAGACATACACATAGACACAAAGACGCAAACATACACAGATAAGCACAAAAAAACCACAAAGATACACATATATACATACAGATACACACACAAATACACAGATCACACTTATATACACAGATACACACACACAGAGACACAGAAACACAAACACAGTTACAAACAGACACATGTATACACACACAAACACAAAGATATATACAAAACACACACACACAAATATATGTCATCTAAAATAGCTTGCTGTTGGTAAGAAAAAATGTAATTTGTAAGAAATACTTGAGGTTGAGCCTGGCTATGAGGAGAGGCAAAAGCACAAATACAGTGAAATCTCTGAGTCTAAGACCATCTGGTCTACAAAGTGGGTTCCAGGACAGCCAGGGCTACACAGAGAAGCCCTATGTCAAAAAAAATAACACAAACAAATAAATAGATACCTGAGTAGTGAGCTTCCTGCAAGACACCTTATAAGTTGAGGCTATGATATAGTTCCAAATATATTATTTTCTCACTTTTTGTTTTGTTTTGTTTTTTGAGACAGGGTTTCTCTGTGTACCCTTGGCTGTCCTGGACTCACTCTGTAGACCAGGCTGGCCTCTTTGAACTCACAGAGATCTGCCAGCCTCTGCCTCCCAGAGTGCTAGGCTCACAGCAAGCACCACGGCATCTGGCTTCTTTTGTCACTTCTTATTATGAATTAAAAATTGTCCTTCCAGTAAAACAATATAATTTTATTTTGGATTGGAATTTAAATAATGTGTACAAAACACTATTTTTTGAAAAAGAAATTGTACTGATTCTCATTTTTGGGTTTTATCTATATTATTCTATTTGAGTTGCCAGTTACCTCAATTTATCTTAATTTATTTTAGTTGTATAAAAAAAAAAATAGAAGTTGTGTGTGGTGGTTCATACCTGCATTCCCAGCACTGGGGAGGTCCAGGCAGGAGAACTACAAATTCAAAGCCAGCCTGAGCAATTTAGTGAGATCCTGTCACAAAATAAAGTCCAAAGAAGGTTGGGTAGTGTGTGTGTGTGTGTGTGTGTGTGTGTGTGTGTGTGTGTGTGTTTATCAGTGGGAAAAACGTGCCTGTTGTGTGTGAGGCTTTCTGTTCAGTCCCAATAAATGAAAAGTATTATAATACCATTCAGAAATAAAAAGCAAAGTAATTTGTTTTAACCCCTAGTGTTATCTTTCCCTAATGTTCTGGACACTGTTTTAGCATACTAATTGTTCTCCTTGGCACAACTCATATAAATTGGTGGATATGTTTCATTAACTCATTATTTGCCTTACATTTTGAGATTTCTTTTTTTCTATATGTAGGATTTTGGGCTGACAAGGAGGAGCTACAGAAGCTGAGGCAGAGTGAGATGGTTTTCAAGCCTCAGAAGAAGTGGCAGGAATATGAAGTGAATATGGAAAACTGGGTGAAAGCCGTGAAACGCTCCATGAACTGGTACAACAAGGCGTAAGACTGAGGAGCCGTTGACAGGATGTGCCCAGGGAGAGGCCCAGCACTGCCGCCCCGACCGTGACCGAGAGAAGATTCACAACGAGCCTCGAGCCTCGCAAGCCGAGAGAAAAAGCGTTGCTCCTTTTAAAAAAAACTCTCTCTCTCTCTCTCTCTCTCACACACACACACACAAAATACTTCTTAGTTTTTTTATACAAATCTTAGTGAAATGTTTAGGCTGCGATACCTCAAAATTGTGTCTTCTTTCTTCCAGCGGTCTTCAAAGGACACTGTCCACTCCCAAAGCACTTTGATAGTTGTGAGTCCTCCTCTGTTTTTTTTTGTTTTTTTTTTAATATACAGGGTCGGTGGCAGACAGGCCATAGTAATTCAGCCTCTGAGAGCTAATTGTTCTGCATCAGACACCATCACATTTTGTTAGAAATTAAGAACAATTTTTCTTACATTTCAAACGAAGTGGACTATTTGAAATCCAGAGTGCTAAAAAGGAGGACTAGCTGAGAAAATGTTTTATGTTGAAAGCTGTAGTGCCATGTTTTCATATGAGCTCTTTATGCCGCTCCCAGAGGGGCTCATTAGCACTTTCCTTTGTTGAGCGTGAAGACGCGGCCTGCATTCTTCTAACGGTTGTTTTGTTACTGTTGTCGAGGCAACAGTGCCACTGTGCAGCCCAGGCTGCCTGGAAACATGAGAGTCTCCTGCCTCAGCCCCTCGGATTATGGGATTGTAGGTGTGCAGCAGCGTGCCTTGCTGAGGACTCATCATTCACCGAGGAACGAGTTTTAGTTTGTGGATAGTGAGCCTGGCTCTGGTAGCAAATATTGAGACTTTCAAGGCTGAGGCCAGAGGAGTATAAGCGTGAAGCCTATCTGAGCAATGTGGGGAGTTCCAGGCAATCTGGGCACAATAGTGAAGCCCTGTCTTTAAAAATACCTTTTGTTTTGTTTGAAAAAAGATCTTAATGTTTAACCCATGCTGGTTTCTGACTCTTGAGCCTCCTGCTTTAATCTCCAGAGTTGTGTATAGCGGTCTGTTTTTATAAAGTGCAAGAAGAAGAAGATTTACATCAACTTTCTTTATCTTTTTTGTTGAAATGCTTGCATAAATGTCTCTTTAAAAAAAAAAAAACTACTTGACAGAGTTTAAATTATTATTAGGTTTTGTTGTTGTTTTGTTTTGTTTTTTGGCAACAGAGTTCATTATATAGCTCAGGCTGGCCTAAAACTCCAGGTCCTCTTGACTCAGTCTCCTGAGGAGCTAGGCTTGTAGGCATGTGCCACACTTGGCATCAGAGTTTACTGTGACCTAGATCATCGGTAACTCAAGAATTGCCTTCATGGGTCACTTGATGTGTGTTTTGGAGTTTGTCTGTCCTGCTCGCTTTTGAGGGTTAGCGGGGGCTGGCTGATGAAGTAATGGACGGTGTGCTTGGTAATGATTGCCGTAAGCAAGTCTGCTGCTGAGCCAGAGTCCCGCCTTATGAAGCACTACTGTCCCTGGAAGACTGGGAGGGGCACATTCAGAGCCTCTCGCTGGGTTAAAATTGTCCTGGGTTAAAAAAATCCTAGAGCGGTTGCCGGTGCTGTGTCCTATTTTACATCACTTGCCCCTCTCTCCAGGGGAATTTGGATTTTCTTGAGTGTGAATGAACTTGTTCCCATCTTGGTCAGTATCACATAAAAGTGATACCACTGTGGAGCCATCTACTTCATAATTATGTTACTGAAGGAACAACTGGCAGAAGGAATGTTACTGCTGCTGTCATATGTCCATTTGGGAGTCAGTGACGCGAGAATGAATAGGTACATTGAGCTTTCTGCAAATTATTTTCCTGAGTTCCCAGTGTCTTCAGTCGTTAAAAAAAAAAAAAAAGTTTCTTAATGGAAACATTGTAGCAAACATGTAGCATCTTTAGCTCCATTAACTTTGGAGAGTGAAGACAGCTCAGCAGGTAAAGGCCCTTGTCATACAAGCTTGCTGACCTGAATCCAGTCCCCTGACCTCCACATGGGCATGGTGTTGTGTGCACATCCTCCAAAATAATAAAAACTCTAAAAAATTTGGAAATATTTTTGTTAGAGGCATTTTTGTTTACTGCAACAAATCAGAACTCACATAGATAATCTTATTCTTCTACAACATTTTTACACAGCTTTGTGGCCAATTACAGGTTCTCCCATCATGTGAAAGCTGCTTATTTGAATGTTTTGCATAGGTTCTGCTGATAGGTATGATTTCAGGAAGTAATTCTGTCCTTTTGTCTTAGGGCAGACTGAATTGTGATATTAATTACTAAAGATGCCATTTGCCATTTCTTCCCTATGCTCTTCCTAATGTACAACTTCAGAGTGAAGGATAAATATCTTTTAGATAATGTTAAAAACAGCTAATATCTCATTCAAATTGAGTGTCTCTTAAGATCAATGACTCTTCCTCCTCCTCCTCCTCCTCCTCCTCTTCCTCCTCCTCTTCCTCCTCCTCTTCTTCTTCTTCTCTTTCTGTAGATCTAGAAGCTAATCTTTTGCTTTTTGGCATTTCTGGCAAATTTTAATGACAGGGCTTAGTGACTCTTGTAAGAGTTAAGTAAAATCAGAAATATGTCATTTTCTTTTGTGGTTGTAGAAACAGTTGCTAATCAAAAGCAATGGAAGAAAATCATCCCTTCATCTGCCTTTTGAAAATAATTTTAATATGCTAATATTTCTTAGCATATTTTCTTTTCCCATTATAGACCTACCAGGCATTTTAAGAGATTGCCAGCAAACTCAGGACAGTGTTCCTGTGCAGCCTGTATTAAAGTGGTACTAATTGCTTTATCTATGACTTACTGATCTTCAGATCTCTTGTTCATCAGTTTCAGCATTGATCTTTGTTTTTGTGATATGGTCTCAAGGTGTAGCCCTGGCTGTCCTGGAACTCACTCTTCAGACCAGGCTGTCCCCACACTCACAAGCTCTGCCTGCCTCTGCCTCCCGAGTGCTGGGGTTAAAGATGTGCCTCCGCACCTTGCAACATAAACATTTTGAACTGGATCTGTCTTTGCTTTGGGGTGCTGTGCTGGATACAGTAGGATGCTTGGCAGTCCCTGACCTCCACTGTTCAGCATTTCCCTGCTTTTTATGGTTCCGAAATGCCTGCCAACACTGGCCATCCCAGGAGGCAAGAAATCATTGTCATTGGAGAACCACTGCCAGCTCTTTGATACTGGCTATTAGAAGAAAAAATGAAGATTTGGTGAATACAGTAACATTTACAATATTCCCTTCATTGTTTTCCCCTAGGAAATGATTTTTTGGGGGGGTATATAACAATTCAGGTTGTTTTTTTTTTTTCGATTTAGTTTATTTTCTATAATTTATTCACTTTCCATCCTGATTGTAGCCCCCTCCCTTGTCTCCCCCGGGTCCCACCCTCCCTCTTCCCACCAATCCCCTCCTTCAGTTCTCAGAAAGGGGGATCCCTCCTCCCCTACCATCTGACCCTAGCCTATCAAGTCTCATTAGGACTACTTACATCCTCTTCCTCTGTGGCTTGGCAAGGCTCTCCACCAGGGGGAAGTGATCAAAGAGCAGGCAACAGAGTCCATGTCAGAGACAGCCCCTGCTCAGTTACTAGGGAACACACATGGAGATTGTGCTGCCTGTCGGCCACATTTACTGGTGCTTTCTCAGACAATTGGGAATATTGTTAACTCAAGACCCAGCTGTATCACTCCTGGGCATACACCCAAAAGATGCTTCACCATACAAAAAGGACATTTGCTCAACTGTGTTCATAGCAGCTTTATTCATAGTAGCCAGAAACTGGAAATAACCTAGATGTCCCTCAACCAGAGAATGGATAAAGAAACTGGTACATTCATGCAATGGGATATTACTCAGCTATTAAAAATAAGGAAATCATGAAATTTGCAGGCAAATGGATGGAAGTAGAAAAGATCATCCTGAGTGAGATAACCAGAACCAGGAAATGAATTTTTAACAATGAAAAAAGAGGTAGTATCCTAAAATACAGTTTCTGTTTTGCTGGATAGTGAAGAAAAAAGTATTGGTTGGTTGTGATCTCACCTCTCTGGATGGATCAAACCTAGAGCCTTGAGCCTGGTAGTCAACTATTCTACTACTGAACAACATCCCAGCCTATATGTCTCCATAACAGATTCTTACGTACCTCAGCTCTACCCCTGTGTGGTCATACTTAGTGGGTATTTGGTATGGCAGATATATTTTGTAGACTCTGTGTCCCTACCCATTTTTCTGAGACAGGGTCTTACTCTGTAGCCTAGGTAGGCCCGGAACTCATGGTAGTGCTCCTGCCTCAGCCTCCTGGGTGCTGGGATTACAGACATGAATCACCAAGCCTTTGCTTCACTTTCATCGCTGAACTAGGAAAGGATCGCTGTGTCAAACCCTAACTAGATTTGGTGCTTCCTGAAGCCAAAGCCATGTTTGCTCCTCCCAGAACTTAACACTGTGCCTTCATGTTTATGGATGGGTTTTTACTTCGCATTTGTCCTTGATCTTACATGTATTGATAGTATCTTGTGCTTGTGGAAAGGGTAGACATTTACAGCTAGAGTCATGATGTTGATTTAAAAAAAAAGTGTATATTTTCAAATATATTTTTATAGAGATATACAGCCACAGGTACACATGGGTGTAGCAGCTTCTAGTTGCTGGTCTGGGAATTTACCCTGGAGCCTGGTTCATGCTAAACATGCCTAGCTACTTTTGACTTTTTAAGGTATAGTTAAAACTTTTATTCACAGGTTTTAGATACTAGACTGCAGATAACTAACATTGTATTTTAAGAGTGCCTAATACTCTGGTGCTATAGAAAAAATCCCAGTAGTAGCCCCCTGATTAGGCAAAACACATATACTGGGGACCTGTTGTGGTTTTGTTTGTTTGTTTGTTTTGTTTTGAGGGCTTTTTTTCGTTTAGTTGGTTTGGTTTGGTTTTATTCGAGACAGGGTCTTCCTATGTAACTATGGCTGCCCTGGGACGCACTATGTAGACCAAGCTAGGGTCAAACTCAGAGGTCTGTCTCCCAAGTGCTGAGATTAAATGTCCCCTGGAGCCACTTTGTTCTGTTCTGGAGGCTAGAATTAATGTAATTAATGTAATAGTACAGCTCAAGAGGATGGCAAGACTTTTACAGTTCTTTGAAGAGAGATCACCACTACGCCTCAGAGTCCTCCAACTTTGAACCTGTGGTCATCCAGAAGTATCTATAGAAGGCTTGAAGGGAGTTTAGACTGTGCTTTTCAAATAAGGATAAGAAGTTTCAGACACTCCCTGAACTTTTAAGATTTTCCTGATTGGGAACCCAAAGCCTGAAGGAGGCTTTGGACTTGGATAGTTCTGAAGTTCTGTTATTCTGTTCTTACAGCCTTTCTGTCCTTTGTATTTTTTTCTTCGTATCTAGATAGCTATTGTGATTGCTTAGGAAAAACTGACATAGGGATTCCAGCTCAAACGGTTCTTATGTTGGCAGGCAGCTCAGTGTGGTAGAGTACATGTCTAGTGTCTACAGGGTCCTAGGTTTGATCCCCAGAGCTACAAAATAGAAAGAAAAATAAAGTCTATATACAGAGTGGCTGTCCCACTTCATGTTTCAAACATCAGTGTGTGAGCAATCCAGTTTCTCCATGTTCTCTCTCCAGCGTTTAGTGATGTTGAATATTATTTCATGTGCTTTTTGCCACCTGCTTGCCATCACCTTTTAAATCTCTGTTGATTATCTTTGTCAAGCTGCCAATTGGATTGTTTGCTAAACGAGCCATATCTTTAAAAAAAAAATTTTAAATAAAATCAGACTTCGGAAGTCATTAGGTAGGGTTTTTCAAATCATTTAAGGCAAAATGTTTTAGGATGTCTTAGGAAGGGCTCTTCTGTGCTCAGCACTGCTCATTACACAGCGCTGGGTGGGTACTGTGAAAATAAACAAAACAAAGTTTCAAAGGCAACTACACTCAAGATGTCCAGCAGTGTGTCAGACACATACTTTGTATATAACACTCACCATGTTTTTAACTCTGTGCAAAATGGTATGATTTATGTAAAGGTTCAGAATGATTTTGTTACAAATTAATTAGAAAAGGTGGATAAATACAGATTTGAATTTTCATATATCGGTAAATTTATGGTCTTATTTCTCTCATTGTTATGTCAGTTTTATTAAATATTGAGACTGTCATAAACCATTTTAAAGATCTTTAATAAAATCAAAGATGAACACAGCAATAGAAATGCTTCTCGTATGCATATGAGTTTTCTGTTTAAAACATTCTTGTTTGTTGTTTTCAAGACAAGATTTCTCTGTGTAGCCCTGGCTGACCTGGCACTCACTCTGTAGACCAGGCTGGCCTCAGAGACCTGCCCGTCTCTGTCTCCCAAGTGCTAGGATTAAAGGCATGCGCTACACCACCACCACCTGGCTTTGTATAAGACATTTTAAGGAGCCGAAATTAACCTCAAATGTCCTAGGTAGCTGACAGTGACATTGACTTCCCTCTCCTGTTTCCATCTCAGAGCCAGGATTACAGGCACTTGTTTTCTTCCTTTTTTTTTTTTTTTTTTTTTTTTGTTCTTTGTTTTTGAGACAGCATTTCTCTGGCCATCCTAGACTTGCTTTGTAGACCAGGCTGGCCTTGAACTCAGAGATCGGCCTGCCTCTTTCTCCCTGAGTGCTGGGATTGCAGGTGTGTGTGTCACAGGCACTTGTAAGTATCTAGGATCTGGAAATCAAAGTCAGGTCCTCATGCCTGCATGCAAGCTCTTTACCAACCGAGCTATCTCTTCAGACTACCTACTATCTGCTTTATAAACTATAAACTATCTGCTTTAGTTTATAGGTTTGCTTTTTACTTTACCTAAACATTTTGATTGAACACTGAGTACTTTCTACTCTGGTTTCTGCACACTGAGGAAAAAAAAAACAAAAACAAAACAAAACCTGTTAGCAGAGTGCTTTCCTAGAATGTAACTATTTTAGTAACATTTTGGGATTGACTTTCCTAGCTATTTCCCACTCCTGTTCTTTCTAGCTATCTCCCCACATAAACCAGCTGCATATGAGAATTTTTGTCAAGCTTGGCCTGGTGGCACACTTTTAATCCCAGCATGTGGGATGCAGAAGCTGGCAGACCTGTGAGTAGAGGGCAGAAGATGCCTAGCCTTGGCTCCTACATCAGGGAGTTTGGGGCAGCCAGGGCTACATAGTGAGACTTTGTCTCACAGGGGAAAGAGAAAGTTATTTTTGTAGGAGGCTGGGGAGATGACTCAGTATGCTAGAGTGCTTGCTATGTAAGCATGAGACCTACTGGATTTCTATCTCCAGTATCCATGAAAAAAAAAAATGGGTGGGGCTGCACACAATTATATGTGAGGAAGTCGGCCCAGACAGGAGGTTCCCAGGGCTGTGCCGGCTCTCAAGCCAGGCAGCCTAGCCAAATGGTATGCTCCAGGGTCACTGAGAGACTTGTAAAAAATAAGATAGAGAAATACATCCAGTGTTGACCTCTCGCCTGCATGGGCAGATGAACATGCTTGCTCACATGTGCACATATGAGCACATACCACGCACGCTAAATAAATTAAATTCCTTTAAAAAAATAAATCCTGTCACAATGTTTGCAGAAGACAAACTTAGATCTCTGCACTGCTGGTTGTTTAATATTTTGACTCATTCTTGTATATAAACCTAAAACTCCAAAGACATTTCGACAGACACAAGAGACATGTGCAAAGAAATTTAGAGCATCAAAATAGGAGAAAAGGGTAAAATACCAAACATTTATTAGCAAGAGAAATTAAACATTTATTTATTTACTTTTTGGGACAGGGACTCATGTAAGCCCAGGCTAGACTTGAATTCTCCATGTAGCTGAGACAGAAGCCGGAGGCTGCAGAGGTCTAGGGCAGCCTGGGCTACAGAGTGACATCCTTTCTAAGCAGACAACTAAGATTAGGTGTGAAAATTGCTTTCATTGTGAAGAGTAACGGAAATTCTCCCACTGCCCTAACTTCCAGCTTCCAGAAATGAACCAGGAAGAGGCTGTATTTCAAATTCAAGGTGCAAATTCAAGGTGCAATGGCACCCAGTCCTGTTACAGTGATTGATCTGCACATGCTGCAATCACAGCTCCCAGATAACCCTCAGGCTGACATTCCCCTTACGGTGTCTATTCTTTCTTCAGTCAATGGATTGGGCATAGAAGATGCTTTAAACAACAGCAACAAAATCCTGTTTGGAACTGATCTGACAGCAGATATTTCTGTTCAGTGTTTGGTTGGGTGAGGCGGCAACAGCATCCCTTTGGGAGCTTGTAGGAAGTGTGGAATCTAGGCCACACCTTGTAATATAAAGTTTAATGAGAATTCCCTGGGTGATTCCTACGACATTAAAGTCAGAGGGGACCAGGAGTCCTGTTCCTGCTGAGAGCCAGATGCAGCAGGAGATCCCTATCACATGAAACTCCTCGACTTTAATAGGCCTGCAGTTTTCATAGCCCCTTTTCTCTTGATTCTGAGGCCCACAAGGAAGGTTGACTTTATTTTTCTAGACAGTGTTTCTCATAGTAGCTCTGGCTCACTCTGTAGTTCAAGGCTGACCTCAAACTCACAGCAGCCTCTGCCTCCCATGTGCTAGGAGGAAGGTTGACTTCAAAAAATTTTATGTACAGGTGGAGGTCAGAGGACTAGTTTCAGGAGTTGTAGTTCTTTCCTTCCACCATGAGTTCTGGGGATTTAATTCCTCATCAGGCCTCTTGGATAATTTTATGTCAACTTGACACTAGTTAGAGTCACCTGACAGGAGGAACCTCAGTTCAGAAAATGCTTCCTTAAGATCCATCTGTAAGGCTTTTTCTTAATTAGTGATGGATTTGGGAGGGCCCAGACCATTGTGGGTGGGGTCATCCATGGCTCAGGGTTCTGTAAGAAAGCAAGCTGAGCAAGCCATGAGGAGCAAGCCAGTAAAAACTACCTACCCCTCCATGGCCTCTGCCTTAGCTCCTGCCTCCAGGTTCCTGCCCTGTTTGAGTTCCTGTCTTGGCTTCCTTCACTGATGGACTACAAAGTGGAAGTATAAACCAAATAAATCCTTTCCTCCTCAACTTGCCTTTAAAGGTCATGGTGTTCCATCACATTTGCTTTTAAAGGTCATGGTGTTCCGTCACATCCATAGAAATGCTAACGAAGACACCCACATAGCCATCTCCTCAGCCCTTTGTTTGCATTTGAGGTATGTTTTCTTGTAGGATTTCTTCCTTTGGGCTGGCCTTGGACTTGCTATGTTATAGAGGCTGGCTTTGAATTCCTGATCTTCCTGCATGTGCCGCACAAAAGTGCTGGTGGTACAAGCAGGAACCACCATGCCTGAACAAGAGTAACTTTATATATATCTCCCCATCTGTAGTGGTGACTGAACCCAGAGCCTTGTATGCCACAGGCAAATGCTCTCCCAGTGAGCTATATGACCAGTTTTGGTCCTCTTTTAAAATGTTAGTTTAAGACAGAGTTTCTGAACCTCTTGAGTTGCTTTTGAACTCACTCTGTACCCCAGATTGGGCTTGAACTTGCAACTCTTCAGTCTCAGTGTTCTGAGTACCTATACTTACAGGTGTGCCCTATTGTGCCTTGTTTATTATTCTTTGTTTCTCTTTCCGAAAATACTTACTGGCTAGCTGCTCTATATTCATCAATAATGGCACTGAAAATGACTGACGACTCTGATGGCACTCAGAGCCTAACAGGCTACAGATCCAAGTGAATCATTACAGCTTTAATAAATGTTAGAAAGGCAGACAAAATTTTACGGGGAAAGAGCTGAGGATGGGAAGTCAAGACATTCCTTTTTGGAGTAAGTTAAGTTTAGCTGGTAAGGCATACGATGGACTGGGTAAGCCGAGGGATTGTTACAAGCTCATGAAATACCACTTAACGGTTCTTGAGACATTTATGTTTGTGTTCCCAACCCTTGCACAGTGTTTGGCACACAGTAAGTGCCTAATGAGTGCTGAATCAATAAATGTGCAGTCACAGTTCAGACATCTATTCTCTGGCATTGGAGATGATAAAGACTTAATTTCTTTTTTCAAAGGAAACAGGATCCCTTAATGGAGAAATGAGAAGGTAGACAGAAAGCTGTTTGTGCACACTGCTAAACTGAAGCTGTGAGTGGGAATGAAAAACTGATTTACATGAATTCTTATCCCTGTAGCAACTCAATTTATTCTGTACCAGAGAACTTTCAGCATTTGGCTTCAAAATCAAGCTGTTCTTCCTTGTTCTGAATTCTTGGCCTGCTGTGAAACTAGCATTTACTTGTCTTTTACAGCATACTCTCATTAGGTCATGGAAATTCACAGCTAGATCAAGCTAGTGTATGGAAAATTTGAAGCCTTCTACTGTGTGTTTTACTTTGTGGCTTTGGAAGATATTGTGGAATGTGGACTTTTGATATCTATTTCAAGAACAAGGCTAAAGGATGATAACTGGTGTACTTACTGATCACTTACTTTGCACATTGCATGTCTCATGCTAACTTCTATAGGAGCACACCAAACCACACAGTAACTTCATATTGTTCAACTTAGGGTTTTTGTTTGTTTGTTTTTTGGCTTTTTGAGACATGATCTTTTATGCAGCCCTGGTTTACAATTTGTAGACCAGGCTGGCCTGGAACTCTCAGAGATCTACACACACACCTCTGCCTCCCGAGTGATGGGACTTATTTTTTGTCTCCAAGCTTTCACCTTAGAAAGAGGCTCAGAGAATAATGCAAGACAGAACAGAGGGTATAAGGCATTTGTTGCCAAACCTGAAAACCTGATGTTAATCTCTGAGAAGAAAAGAACCAATTCCTGCAAGTTGTGCTCTGATCTCTACTCTTAGCCATTCCCTCCCATTCCAGCATGGACATGCAGTATTTACTTGACAGGTAATGAGATTCTAGGCACTCGTTTCTCCACAGTGCCCCAAGAATTTTTATGCGTCTGCTTCTGTTGTGGCTATGCATGTTGAGGTGCTTCATAATTTTTCTCTACTGGACTGAGGTAAAGTTTTTTTTTTTTTCTGTCATGCTGAGTTTTCTATCTTTAATGCCAATATTGCTAAGTATTCTGTCTCTTTGTTTTGAGACAGAGTTTTTCTGTGTAGCCTGGATGTCTTGGAACCCACTTTGTAGACCAGGCTGGTCTTGAACTCAGAGATCCTCCTGCCTCTGCCTCCCAAGTGCTGGGACTACAGGTGTGCACCACCACTTCCCAGTGTAAGGATTTATTAAATAAGCTGAACACAATACCTTAACAATTTTTTTTGTGGAAATTAAATAAATCCACATTCACCTGTTGGTGAAAAAGGCAATCATTCATCTAAGGTTTTTGGAATTTAAATCAGTCACTGGATTACTGTGTGTGGTATTTTTGAAAATCTGGGTGGATTTTACCCATCACAATTATGCAGAAATTGTCTCCAATTCTTCCAAAGAAACAGCCAAAGGTGTTTGCTTTCTTGCCTCCCTCACACCTTTATGTATTTATTCTTTCTATCTATCTATCTATCTATCTATCTATCTATCTATCTATCTATCCTATCTATCTTTTTACCTACATAATCTATCCATCATATTTTTGAGAAAGAATCTCATTATCTATCTATCATCAATCTATTTATATGTTTGAGAAAGGACCTCATGAAGACCAGGTTGGTCTCAAACTTCGGACTGTAGCTCCCAGAAGCATGTGCTGACACTCTGGGCTGGTATTTTCTTTAGCAGCACCCTCTCAAGAGTTGTTTTCCCTTACCACACTACTGAGGTTCTGGGCTTAATTTGTTTTTATAATCTGCACCAACAAGAAATGTAGTTTTGTTGCTGTTGGGCCCCGTTTTTGGGAAATACAGCCTCATATAGGGCAGGCTGGCACCAACTGGCTTTGAAGCTGAAGATTATTTTTGCCTCTACCTGTGGGGTACTGGGATTACTGTAACTTGAGGTATTTACTTATTTGTTTATTTAGTATATTTTGAGGATCATCTTTCCCACCTCATTGGAACATAAGCTCAATGAAGCCAAGAATTTTTGTCTCTTTTGTACACATGTCCCCAGTACCATGAATAGTATTTGGCTCATAGAGCTATGAAGAAATTAAGATGAGAAATATCAAGAATCACTTTAAAGTTGGATTCTCTTATCTTACCTCTGAACTTTCACAGTAACTACTGCTCTCACAGGATTTTACACACGCACCTGAAGGAACAAAAACTTTTTTGGGGTCTCCCCAGCTGGCTTGTCTTGCCCTGGCTGGCTCGGAACTGGCTATGTTGACTAGGCTGGCCTGAAACTCACAGAGATTAGCTTGTGTCTGTCTGCTGAGTGCTGGGATTAAAGACATGAGCCACCGAGGCAACCTGAATGATTTAATAAATGATTAGGTCATCTGGCAGTGTGTGCCTCCACTTTCTGTTCTACTTCTATGTGATCTGGCCTAATTCGTATCCACACTTTCCCAGGAACTGAAGCAGGATCACCTCCACAGTCGTCTACGTGTGGCCTCAAGGTCACAGCTGTCCATCTGCTGCTTCTGGTAGTGGCCCGTCAAAGGTCCATGGTTGAGAAGATGGGATGGGAAAGAGAACCGGAGTCCAGAGCTGAGAGAAGGTGGTGGTGGGAGGTGAGGGGAGGTGAGGTGAGGGGCTGAAGTGGTCGCTCAGGCTTCCCGCACCCCTAGGTCGCCGGGCGACCCCTGGCGGGGAACTGGAGGTCAAAAGGCAAACTCCACCAGCCTCCCACCTCCGCCCCCGGCGCCGGGTGGCGAGTCCTGGGGGGGGCGGGTTTTGTTTACTCCCTACACGCACCGCGGCCCGGCCAATCCGCGGAGAGCGTCGCCGCGCGTCACGCCTCCCGAGGGCCAATCGGAGCGCCGCGTGCTGCCCGGCCGCCAAAGCGAGCGCGGGGGAAGCGGCGGCGGAGCGGCCGTGTTGCCGAGGGAGGACGGCGTCGGGCGCGCGGGGCTGGGAGGCCGTCGCTGCCTGGCACGCGGGGCGCGCCTGGACTCTTCCTGCGCCGCAGGGCTTCCGAGGCGCGCGGGGGCGCCCCGGGGACCTGGGCTGTGCGCGGGCGTGAGCTCGCTCCGACCGGACCCCGCTGCGCCTGAGGGGCGGCGGCTCCCGGGAGCGGGCCGAGGGCTCCCTCTGCACCGATCGGCGGTAAGGTCCGGGGAAAGGGCGCGGGCCTGCACGCCAGGGGCCTTTGGACCGGGCGCGGCCCTCCCCGCCCTGTGGCGGGCTTCGCAGCTTGTCCCCCGGGTTTCTCTGCAGCCCGGCCGAGCAACCCCCCCCCCCCCCC